AAAAAAAAAAAAACAGATGCTGATCAGTAAGAAGCAAGATTGCATCTATCATAACAAGGGAAAAGACAACAAAACTCTATGACAAACCCTTATTGATTAGGTTATGCATGTCACAGTCATGATAGTAGCTAGAAAATTCTCGAGTATTAAGATAAAAATAGGCCTTTAAGTAATTTATTACTCAACAATTTACAGATACGAGGGATTAATTTATCATACTTCATTGTCCTCAAATCCCAAAGTTGAACTGATGAATCACATGTTAAAGATACATTATTGAAGTCGTGCGGATCCCACGCTCCGCCACTTAAACTATGACGCATGCCGGCTGATTCTTTTGATTGTACCTAGATCACAAAGTAAGAGCGAACTAAGAATAAACTCGAGAAATCAGGAACTAAAAGGTCATTATATCTGTTAACATCTCTGCTGACATAATTGCATCGGATGTCAAAGACATCAAGGTGGGTACCATATAGAATTTGAAAAGAGAAAAGCTGCCGAAAATGATACTGACTACTTAGTTTTTATAACAAGGCAAGACACAATTAAAAATTATTAGTGAACAATATTTGCATTTCATTCAGCTTAGTTCATTGATATCCTTTTAGTTAATTATACAAAATTGTTTTATGAATGGAAATTGAGAAGGCGTGGAGTACACCTGGTGCCAGAAAAACAGCAAATAAACAAATAAAATGTATGATATTGATGGTGGAGTTGAGCACATATAGCTTCCAGAACTAACTTGTGTCTCCAAAGTCTAGGATAGAGTAAGAAATTAAATTTCAAAATTACGAGTTATGAATATTGGATAATGATTGAAAGAGTGAGCATCACAGTATCTATTGAGAAGAAATTTTGTGGAGTCAATAGTATTTCTGCTAGTTGGAAGTCTTAACACAGTTAACATGAAGTTGTTCCGCAGCAACCATAAAAATGATAATATTCCAACACTGATAATCTCATACTACAATATGATTAATCTTCTATCTTTATTCCTTCCAAAATTTTAAGCAGACTCAAAAAAAAAAAAAAAAAAAAAAAAAAAAAAAAAAAAAAAAAAAAAAAAAAAAAACACTGCAAAGCTAAATTCGGTTAAAGGGCCAAACAGTAAATGTAGAGCTGCAGATAGATAAGAAAAGCAGGTGAACAAAATATTAGATCTATGCTTTGTCGTAACCATATGTGTCAAGTAACCTATACCTGAGCAGTCTTCTTCGAAGTATCTAAGCTCCAGAGGACGAGATTTTGCTCATCAATACTAACTAGCTTGTCATGCCTTCCTGTAGGCCACCAGAGTACACTACATTCAAAGAGGGTGCAGTATCATATAAGCACACTACTATTGTTGGAAATGGGTGCTCAAAATGTTTATTATATCAAAAAACACCATGAATCTGGAAAATGTAGAGGGAAACCAAGGATTTCCATAGCTCAGAGTCATACAAGTAAGGTTCACATGAAAACATCAGATAAATACTTATCAGATCTTAAAGGTGCGGAATGATTCCAATAATAAGTTTCCTATTTCTGATTCACTGGCTTTCTCTTGTCATGAGTGAAAGCTGAGAACTAATGAAACCTCATCTACTAGGGTGAAAAATTAATCCAAATGAATTACATCTATGCAGCAGATTCCAAAGGAGCATTGACAAACACTAAAAAGCAATTCCAACGTAAAGCCATGATAACTAGCACAAAATGATAGGCCAATAAAGCACTAAAAGAAAAGGGGTTATACAACAACAACAACAACAATAGCAGCAAAACTGAAAGCATGCTTTTAAAATACAACTTCTATTAGTTCACTCTAATGACGACATTTCGTCCAACATTTGTAGCCATGCAACTATTATTTATTTTATAGACATTATTCTGTGTATAATGTATTATTTAATTCATAGGATATTATTCATACCCGCTAACTAGGAACTAACATAATTCATGCTTACTACAGCTGAATCTCAATATCCACCTATAAAAGAAAGCTCACCTTCTAATTTTGCAGGTGTGTGCATCGAGAGAAGCAACACTTTCCAGCTGAGGCGAACTAAGTTGACCATACAACTCTGGAATTTGCCATACCGCTGCCCCATATGTTTCCCCTTTAAAGCAACATAATAAACAACAAGAATCATATATCCGTAGCAAACCTACATTTCTAACTTGGATAACACCTATAAGAAAAGTTCCTAGATTCATCTGGAAGGAAGCTCTAAAGTCAAAAATCCAAAACTCCAAATATATTTGATGTTAGAAGCTGGTTCAGCTTCTAGCCCAAAGACGGCAGATACATATTATGATCAACAAAAAACTTAAATGCAAGTAAGTTAAGCTGAGCCAGCAGCTCGGCTAGCTCAATAATATCAAACATGCATGTAACTCATCCATTCGAGCTATATAAATGATGACTGAGGCTGGTAAGCTAAATTAGGCTAAGTCAATTTATCACCAGGCCAAAACCAAGCACTCGTGTACTAATCAGCCCAACTACATTGCACCATGAAACAACTGAATGCATTAAAAAAGAACACTACATCAAAAGTCTGGGAAGTAAATTTCCAAATTACCAGAAGAGAATACAGTAGAGAAAATCCTCTGATCAAAAGGACAAGACGCAAGATCCCATATCTCGTTCGGATGCGAAAACAAACCCTCGCAGATCAATTCAGTGCCGCTAGACGAGAGCCTTATCAGATGCACCTGATCGCGCAAACCACAGCAAAGATCACAAAAACACCACAAAGCAGCAATTAGGAAATCAATCACAGTAGACTTGGCAAACTACCTCGTTTTCTTCTTTGAGACTGAGAGTGCCGGTCAGGAAGCTCGTGTGATCTGTATCCGCCTTCACGTCCGAAATGCATCTGGCCTGGTGCAATCAAAATCACTTCAGATTAAGGTTCTTATTTCCATTTCGTGCAAAATTACGCGGTGGAGCTCAGAAAATTGACCTGATACTTGAGGCCGTAGCCGATGCCAGTTGATCCACCTTGCATTTGCTCACGTTCTGAAAGATCTTTCAAATGCTAAACAGATCCGAAGTTTTTATCCGAGCCACGAGTTGAAAGAATTACGCGTGTTCCTTTAGGGTATGTTTGGTTACAAAGGGAAAGGGAGGGTAGGGATTTTAATGGAAGGGAAGGAATGGCAGGGGATAGGATGTAAAATAATTTTATGGAGGAATTTTGTAGAAGGGGAGATGAGGAAAAACTAGTGTTTTAAAAGTCGTTAGGCGCTCGACCAGTGTCTAGGGCCTAGAGCGCCTAGGCGGGCCTAGGCGGCGCCTAGTCGGGACCTAGAAATCAATATTAAATATCTTATTTTTTTATATATTTTAACTACTTATAAAATAAAATTACCTCAACTTACAATAAAATAAATCGACACATCTATGTCCAAATAATAAAATTAATATATTTTAAAGAAAGCATGAAAACAAAATAATGTAATTAATATTTAATAAATATAAAAAAAATAAAAAAATAAAATTGAAAAATTGTCGCTGAGCCCACCTAGGAGTGCCTAGATCCCCCTATGCCCGCCTAGGCGCCGCCTAACCGCCTGGCCGCCGAGCCTGCCAAGGTCGTCTAGGAACGCGTAAGGCCGCCTAGGCGCCGCCTGGCCGATTTTTCTGGCAATTTGTGCAAATTGGAGGCGCACAGGCACCGCCTGGTGCCTAGGCGGCCGCCTAGGCTGATTTTTAGAACAATGGGAAAACAATATACCTTATTTGGTTAAAAAAATGAAATGGAATGAAAAATAATGTTGAATTGACAATTTTACTTCCCATCCGACTCCTCCAAAACTCCTCCCAATTTTGGAGGGAGTCATTTTCACTATTTGGAGGGATTTTAGTCCATAATTTCCTTCTCCTCCATTTAAAAAATTTGAACCAAACAAGAAATATAAAAATTTACTCTCCCCCAATGTTCTGAAAACCGGACTGGTCATCGAACCGGTAATGCTACTGGTTTAATAGTTCACTGGTCGGACCAACGGTCGAATCGGTCGAACCGTTTTAATTGATATATAATTATTTATTTATTTTATATATATAATATATAATTATATATATATATATATTTTTTTTTATCATTAGATTTATAATGTAAAATGACATTTCTCTATATATAAAAATAGTTGTATTTATTTTTTATCATTAGTTCAATATGTAAAATATATAATTCTATATTTGTTATATCATTATCAAATTAAAAAATGTTAAAGTATTATACTTATTATGTAAGGTTTGTATTTATTTTGTAAAATTGTAAATTTATAATAATAATAATAATAATAATAATAATATAATATATCTAATTTTATTTTTTACTTTTTTAATAAAAGAATTTACATTTTAAACTTTGCATAAGGACATAAAATAAAAAATAAATAAAAATGGGCCCAAGACTTTGCAATTTGCAATTGCTCAAGTATATACCCAAGAAAAAGGCCCAATGATTTGAAATTTAGTGGGCCTATTTGAATGGCCCACACCACAAAGCAAGCAAAACACAATAAAGAAAGATGAAATAGGAGGTAGTGTAATCAAGAAAGGAGGACTTTATATTGAAAAAGTGAGCTGAGTTGTTTGAATTGGAGCCCGCTGGGCCGGTGGAACCGGCAACGGTTTTCCGGTTTGACCGATTTTTTAACGGCTCAAGCAGTTTTTATCCGGTTTTGGTGCCCAGCGGTCTAACTCCTCTGACCGGACTATTGACATGTTCGGTTCCCGATCAAACCGGTCGAACCGGTCGGTCCGGTCTTGTTTTCAGCACACTGCTCTCCCCTCCCTTCCAAAACCCCCCAACCAAACCCTACCTTAGTAATATACATTATATAATTTTTTTCGTTAATAAAGGTTAATTTTGGAAAAGTTAGTATTTTTTTTTTCGAACCCTAAACTTATCCATAGAAAAAACACATGATTACAAATTAGACAGCAGCTAAACATCCGAATAAGTCAACTATTCAGCCGAATCTAGTTGGGAGGACTAACTCCAAAGGCACAAGTTGGGTCAGCCTAAAACCAACCTGAACACAACATAACATACCCACCTACAATACAAGAAGAAAAAAACTCCTAACAAAAGAAAAACCCAATACAAGAAGAAAAAAACTCCTAACAAAAGAAAAACCTACTTCCAGCAGGAGAATAATTGACTTCCAACAGGAGAATCGAAGCCTAAACAAACTTAAAAACCAAAATACACATGAAAACACAACCTGCAAACACTAAACAACCTAAACAACCCAAAAACCACACAAATACATAAAACAAAACACCAAACCAAATAACAAAACTACTAACTACTAGGCTCTCCCCAACCGCCAAAATAACTCCACGAACCACCAAAAGAGACGCCCCCCTCACCACGGGCAGATTCAAAACTCCGGCCAAGATATAGAAACCGCAGAAGGCCTAACTAAGAACTTGACCAGACGAGTCTGAACCCCTCCTAAGGGAGCTTTCTCGGGACCTCACCGTGAGATCGGCACCCTGGAAAAATTAGTGTGATTAATTGTTATTGTAATTTTAAATTTGTATTAAAAGAATATTTGAAATAAAATAATTAAAATTACTTTTAATATAAAAATAAAAGAGAAGTGATTGAAATGTTATGTCTTGAAATATAGACAAAAAAACATTGTATTTCTTATCATGATGTGAGATTATATTATGATTTGAGATTATATTTTTTCTTATTATAGTAGATTATATGATGATATTATGTGATCATTTTCTAACTTTCCATATAGAGAAAAGAAACAGAAAAAGGTCGATGTGAGCTCTTGGGAAGATCAAACATTATTCTAGAGTAATTTTTATCCGTCAAGCGACGATCCTATGTGAGTAGATGAATAGTGAATTAAAGTTGAGGGGGATGATTGATTGATTTTTTTAATTATACAGATAATATTATTGAGGGGTAAATTGCAGTTTTGGTACCCAAACTAAAGTTCACTTCGAAATCATTACTCGTTTTGAAACATTTGCGAAATCAGTACCTAAACTTCTATTCCGTCAGCAACGTTAGACCCAGCCGTTAGTCGTCCGTTAGTCGTTAAAGAAACTGACTAATATCGCAGTTAAGGTTTGAATTATCTCATTCTTTTTGCCCAAATTTCGCACCTCTGAAAAGAAAACCATAAAATTTCATTTCATTCGTTAAACTGATGATCGATCCCTCAAACTGAAGCCCGATTTTAATTTCTGACACAATTCTTCTAATTGTTGCTCGATTTCTCCAATGTTCAGCTCGATTACTCAAACTACAGCATGACTCTTCAAATTCTAACTTGATTCCTCAAATTGCAGCATGAACTTTCAATTTGCAAGTAAAGTCCTCTAATGATATATGTGTATTTAAGGTCCCACCCGATTCTTCAAGTCCCACCTGATTATTGAAATTTCATATCGATCTTATAGCGAAAAGAGATCGAGCAAATACGAAAGGAACTCTAATCTATGGTATGTTTCATGTTTTGGTTTAAGCTGCTCGATTTTGCTTGAACACTGCTTCAAAATAGGGTTTTTTTTTTTTGATATTTTTTACCCAAATGAGGATATACAATTCACTTTGAAAATTTTCCATGGATGGGAGATGATTGAAGACATGTCAAGGTATTACAGAGGGGGGTTTTCTAGATTTTTTTTATGGTTTTGATGGGGACAAGTTGAGTCTTATTGTAATGAATGATTTTGCCAAACAATTAAGTTATGAGAAGCAAAATATTAGGTTTTGGCATCAATATGGTCATTCATTGTACAAGGGAGCAAAAGTCATGATTAATGATTCTGTTGTACTTGATATTATGAAGTTTATTCCTCATAATAGAGAGCCTCTCATATATATTGAACATTTAAACCATCCACAACCTATGGAGCCTTCTAGTTTGCCTTCTACTTTGCATTAAGATGAAGAACATGTGTTTGATTTTTCCTTTCTTGATGACACTTACATAGCAACACCAGAAACAGAGGCCCACCCTGATCCTATTGTAGAAGATAATAATGATGGTCATAGTCACAGTGATGATAGTGATGTGTTAATTGATTATAAGTCTTTGCTAACGAAACACCAAGCTGACATTAGAGCAACATCTTATGCCACACTCCAACTAATATTTTTTTGTTCCTTTTTTAGGATTTATGCGTGTCTGTTGCACATTTTGAAATAAATTTCAGAAGATGTTACGTGAATTTTGGTTATTTACTGAAACTACAAATTGAGTAAGATTTGGAGTAAATTTATCTTGTGAATAATTTTTGAAATTTATAAAATTGTCAGAGTTCGACAAATTTTGAGAATTGAGGTAATATTCAAAATTTGGATCCGTTTATATTTGTTGGAAATTAATAAAAATGAAAGAATGATAAAATTAATAAGGTATGATTAAGAAAAGAGTGAAAAAACAGAAATTGCAATTATGTTTCAAAATCTATCAAGCGTGATCTCTATTTATAGAGATGGAAAAGTACAAATTTTGGTATTTTTTATTTATTTTTAATATAAATTAAAACCAATAATTTAATTTACATTTTATCTTATCATAAAACTAATTGTGACCAATAGGAATGGGACATTGTCCCATTCCAATCCTCCCATTATCTCCAGCTTGAGTTGCGACCCAAAGTCACATTAAGACATGGGTCGCATGATTTTTTTTTCATTTTTTCTTTTTTCTTTTTTTATTTGTCTTTTTGCTGGTATCCATGTCTTCGGGTCACCGATATAGATGATCTAAAAGTTGGATGCTATCTATAGAAAGAATGCAGTGTACACGTAAGTCTCTTGTGTTGCAGGTGTTAGTGTGCATGACAGAACAACTTCTTCATGTGATATTTGACATGACAAAGAAACTAGTAACCATCTTGCCAGTAATCATTGGAACAACTAAATTGCATTTAATTGGATGGGACGACTGCTCGACGTTTGATTTCTGTTCGACTCTGCGTCTGACGAAATGTCACGTCAGTGCATTGTCTTCATTTATGTCTTCATTTATGGACGTACATTTGGATTCCACTTTCAGGCAACTGGTATATCTTGTCAATTTTCTATGTCGATGTTCTACTCGGCACATTGATCCTTTCATACAATACCGAGTCAGTTTTCAACAATGAGTTTGTTCGGCCGGTCATGACGGTTCGACTTTATTTATGAAACACAAGTCGCTTCGGGGTGCTTTGACTGGTTCGGTTGTCAAAGTAGGAACCAACTCTTTAACATGGAACCTGCTAAACTACTGTACATTTATCATGTATGTTATTGTACTGTTCCTATATCACTGCTAAAAAGACTTTGTGAGCTCCCTAACGTAGCAACATGATAAGTATATATAGTTCCAATCTTATTCGCACGCACTATGCTGAAGGTCAGATGAACAAAAATCAACACTTTGGCAGGTCATCACAATTTCATTTCCCCTTAATAATCTCAGAAAATATGTTCAACCAAAGTCTGAAACATTGTGGGAAAAAGGAAAGGTGTAGGAAAAAAATTCAGTATATACAAGAGGCCTTGCACTTTTATAACAGACTAATATCCAACCAAAAACTAAAGAGAAAAAAAAAAAAAAA